CAGCGATGCTGACCTAGAACCCCAAGCCGACCTCTAAACGGCACTATCCCTAACTCCGAACTTCTTCATGTGCAAAATAATTATGTATCTTTATTGCTTAAGCCACCGTTAGCCAAAAGCTTCCCAAATGATAGGCTACACTGCTGCTCAGGATCACAGATTCAGGTCAAAGCTCTCATCCTTTTTCCCCTAGCCTCCATCAGCCGACTTGCCTGTCTTTCCACTTCAGGTCTTTCTCACCCTCCACAAACTGCCATCAGAGTGAATTTTCTAAAACACACTCTGAGCCCATCACTTCCTTGTTTAAATCCTCAGAGGTTCCCCATCACTTTGCAGTGGTGCATAGCTGCAGTAGGCGACAGAATTATCCAGAAGAACTTCCTAAAAATCCGAAAGTCTGAGCCATTCCAGTCCCTAAGAATCAGGTATGTGTGTGTCAAAAAACTCCCCAGGTGATTCTGATGACAAGTCTAGTTAAGAACCAGGGAAATCTTCCCTCACCTTCCTCTCTCCAGGCAGAAATTAATGCTTCCTCTTCTGTGCTCCCATGGTAACTTACTGACACTTTTCTTACCATATAACAACGTTTTAAAAATTTCTATCACCCTTACCAGATAAGGAAACACCAGAGGGCGAGAATCCTGTCACACAGAACATTGGATCCCCAGCACCTAACACGCTGTCTTGATGACAGTAAGCGCTCAAAAAGTTTGATGAATAAACGAATATACAACAATAAACCCCTAATGTTTCTGTCTCCAAAGGCAGGTCTGTTTCCTCTGAACATGACTCTCTGCCAACTGAGCAAACAGACCAAGAAAAATATAGACAACTGCAAATTAGACAAAAATGTGGGGTTTATCATTTACTCTGGCTTGATCAGTCAAAGTGGCCTGAAAACCCAAGGGCCAATCTTTTTCTCCAACGATCAAGAAGCTAGAGAAGATACAATGGAATCTGACAGAGAAAACCACATTCTGAAAACCCTGGTCCTGTGACTTCATGTGCACCATGCAAATGACTCTATGACCAAGCTGTGATTCATGCTCTCAGCAAATAACCAAGGGTGACCTGCTGGAACCAGGCCAAAAAGTAAGTTTTATCAAGAGTGCTCTCCCAAGAAAGCGACTTAACCATATAACCTGCAGGGTGTAGTGGGCACGCTCACCAGTCACATAGAGGTGGACAATCTCTCATTTCCCCAAACTTCTATTCTCTGAAACATAATTTATCCCAATGTCAAGAGTAGGTCTACACCACATTCTATAAAATAAACTTTGTGGTCTGCTTATTCACAAGTACATTGGGGGACAGAAGGATGATGAGAACTAAAATTTACTGAACATATCTACTAGATGTCAGGCACTGTGCTAGGTGCACCCATACCCTTTCTCATTTTATAGCCATAAAAACCAACAGGTAATATTCTCTTTTTAGAGAAAACTGGGCTTTAGAGTAATTAACTTTTCCAAAATTATACCACTGGTAATGGGCAGAGGTGAGATGCAGACCACGATAGGTGGGGCCAGAGCCTACTTAATCCACTCCCTCTTACTTCTCCCCCAGGGGCTTATCCTCTCTGTGCTCTATCAGATCCAAGAAAAGAGGAAAGTAACGCTGCTGAACCCCATGCTAAGTACTTTGTGAGCATTAGCTCCTTTAATCTCCACCAAATCTATAACATGAATACTTTTCTCCCCATTTTACAGATAAACCCACCGATACTTAGAACAGTTAAGAAATGTGACCAAGATCACACAGTTAGCGGCAGATACGGAATTTAATTCAAAGATCACGTTCTTTCCACCTCCCCATGCTGTCCCTCTTCTCCACCCTAAATAAGTTTCATGGGGTTTTCCCCTAAATGACAGACACACATATAACAAAGAGAAAGCAATAAGCAATGAAGCAGCCCTGAAGGTCTTGTTAAATCTTCAAAGGCCTCTTCAGAAGTAGCTATCACCCATCCAGTGCTTTTCTGTCTGACAATCCTTCCCAGACGTGCGCTCTCATATGATCCTCATGGCATCCTGGAAAGGTAAGTACCAACACTCCCAATTTCCAGAGCAGGACATTAAAGCTCAGAGAGGTTAAGCAACCTGACCAAGGTTACACTGCTATGAAATGCTTGAAAAGTGGACTCAAACCATGTTTTAGAGGCCAAAGCCCACCATCTTCACACCTAACAAAGAAGGTCCTCTCGGGGACCCTCTGGCTCTGAAGAAAAAGGAAAACACAGTTATTGGAAAAGATTCCTTATCTTAGGAAAGAAGTTCTTTAATGTATCTGGTTCTCCAAGGTAGACTGAAACAAGCTAGAAAGACTTCAAACATCTTCTTAAGTCCACCCCAACCACGGAGTAAAAGGATATTGTCCTTCCACGATCCACAACTGGAACACATTGAAACACATTGAAACAACACAAAGCCTAAGTGTTGTTTGATCTCACTATGACTCTGGTGGACCCGCCTGTGAGGAGGGTGGGGATCTGTGGAGAGCTTACAGCCAACTTCCCAATCAGGCCAGCACACACTCAAGTTTGTTCTTAATTCCTGTTTATTGCTCTAACACATAAATGGGCACGAACCGTCAAGCCCCACTCCGTTCCTTTCAGAAAAAAACTGGAGGGCTACTTTTCCACATCCACAGTCTAGAGGATGGGAAGCATCATATTCTCTCTGCAAAAAGAGCACGACACCTCTTGTTTTCTTTCCAGGGAAATTAAACACCTAAGAAACCATAGTATGGTGGCAGAAACTTCAACAATAGTGAGCTTTTTGCTTTTGTTTTTTGAAGTATCATTCATTAAGCACATATATGCCAGATGCTATGCTGTGTTACAAGCATTATTCCTCTTGGTTTTTTTGTCGTTGTTGTTTGTTTGCTTTTGAGACACTCTAGCTCTGTCACCCAGGCTGGAGTGCAGTGGTGCAATCTCGGCTCACTACAACCTCCGCCTCCTAGGTTCAAGCGATTCTCCTGACTCAGCCTCCTGAGTAGCTGGGATTACAGGCGCCTGCCACCACGCCTAGCTAATATTTGTATTTTTAGAAGAGACGGGGTTTCACTGTGTTGGCCAGGCTGGTCTCAAACTCTTGACCTCGTGATCTGCCTGCCTCAGCCTGGGATTACAAGTGTGAGCCACCACACCTGGCCTGTCCCTCTTAATCCTTATAAAACTCTATGGAGATTTTTGTTGTTTATTGTTTTTTTCTTTTCTTACCTAAACACAAATTTTTTTTTTTTTTGAGATGGAGTCTCGCTTTGTCGCCTAGGCTTGAGTGCAGTGGCCGGATCTCAGCTCACTGCAAGCTCCGCCTCCCAGGTTTACGCCATTCTCCTGCCTCAGCCTCCCGAGTAGCTGGGACTACAGGCGCCCGCCACCTCGCCCGGCTAGTTTTTTGTATTTTTTAGTAGAGACGGGGTTTCACCGCGTTAGCCAGGATGGTCTCGATCTCCTGACCTCGTGATCCACCCGTCTCGGCCTCCCAAAGTGCAGGGATTACAGGCTTGAGCCACCGCGCCCGGCCTTTTTTTTTTTTTTTTTTTTTTTAGGGGACAAGGTCTCACTCTGTCACCCAGGCTAGAGTGCAGTGGCATGATCATAGCTCACTGCAGCCTCGAACTCCTGGGCTCAAGTGATCCTACCTAGAGGAAATTACATTATCAATGCTAATTACAGGTAAGGAAGCCCAGATACAGATTGTTAAGGAATGTTCATGAAATCAACAGCTTCTCAGAAGCAGGGCTGAGATCTGGGCTCAAGTTTACCCAGCCCCAAAGCCAATGTTTTCATCCACTTGCCTCTACAAGCTCTCCTCCACCACCTACCTATCATAGCACCGTCCCATCAAGGACCTTTAAGATCAGAATACGTGGATCTGTAGACATGAACCCATTTTTGCCCCTGTTGAACTTTTTTTTTTTTTTTTTTTTTTTTGGTTGAGACAGAGTCTCGCTTTGTTGCCCAGACTGGAGTGCAGTGGCCGGATCTCAGCTCACTGCAAGCTCCGCCTCCCGGGTTCACGCCATTCTCCTGCCTCAGCCTCCCTAGTAGCTGGGACTACAGACGCCCGCCACCTCGCCCGGCTAGGTTTTTTTGTATTTTTTAGTAGAGACGGGGTTTCACCGTGTTAGCCAGGATGGTCTCGATCTCCTGACCTTGTGATCCGCCCGTCTCGGCCTCCCAAAGTGCTGGGATTACAGGCTTGAGCCACCGCGCCCGGCCCTGAGCCACCGCGCCCGGCCCGCCCCTGTTGAACTTTTACAAAACTGGTAGTTTTGGTTTCTCAGTTACCACTAGAATTAAGTCAGAGGGACCACAATTTTTTTTTTTAGACAGAGTCTCACTCTGTCGCCCAGGCTAGAGTGCAGTGATGCGATCTCGGCTCACTGCAAACTCTGCCTCCCGGGTTCAAGTGATTCTCTTGCCTCAGCCTCCCGAGTAGCTGGGATTACAGGTGCACCTGGCTAATTTTTGTATTTTTAGTAGGGTTTCGCCATGTTGGCCAGGTTGGTCTCAAACTCCTGACCTCAAGTGATCCACCTGCCTCGGCCTCCCAAAGTGCTGGGTGTAGGCGTGAGTCACCATGCCCAGCCCCAAAATTTTCAAAACTACACATCTGATGTATCTGAATCACAAGCCTAAAGATGCAATGTTTTATACTCATGGTTGTGATCCTATGGTTGATTCTGTAATTGTTATGTACTTAAAGCAAGAAAGGATATCATTAAAATGTTGTCATACGGCGTAAGACTTTAAAAGCATCTCTTCAATTATATATAATTGACCCTCTGCTGACTTTCTTAACAAGATTTTTAAAAATCCAGATTCAAGTAAATATTGAAAAGAATGTCATTTTAATTTCTTTGCCTGGCCATCCCACCCTAACAAAAGACTGTGACCTTCCTCTGCTACCCTGAAAAATCTAAGGTTTTTTATTCTTACTAAGGAAGTAGTGTTTCCTTATGTTAGAAAAAAATACAGGAAGATTACCTACCTCAGAAAAGAACTCGTCCATAAAAGCCGTGTTGTCGATAGCAATCTCGACCTCATCAGTATCATCATCCTGTGTCAACTGCTTCTGCAAAAGGCAAAACAGAGCAGAGTGAGACTAAAAACACAATAAATGGCTAACATTATTGAATGCTCATGAAGCACCAGGAGCTATATTAACCATCTTACACATAATTTCCTTTAAAACTCATAACAGCTCTATGATGTATCAAACTCTGGTGTCTCAACATCTGAAATTAAATCCTAGCTCTACCAATTGCTGTTTTGTTTTTGTTTTTGTTTTTTCAGGGGGTGAGGGGGAGAAAGGGAGGAACTGGCAAGTTACCTATCTTGCTGTGTCTACGTTTCCTTATCTGTTAAATGCTGATAACAACACTACCTGCTTCATAGGCTTGTGTAAGGAATAAAACAGATAATGAATATAAGACGCTTTTGCATGGTGCCTGGTACACTGTAAGTTCAACACATGTTAGGTCTTGTTGCTGTTGGTGGTGGTGGTAGTTACTGTAACTCACTACAGTTGAGGAACCTAAAACTTAGGGAGGTTAGGTAACTTGGCAAAAACCACACAGCTAAAACATGGCAACAGGTAGAGTCGAACTCATCTTTTGGATCTGAACCCCAGGGTTGCTAAACCCTTCTCCACACTGTTCAAACAGGTTCCAGACACAATTCCTACAAAGCATAAACTTTCAATCTTCACGTTAGGAGTAAAGATTTTCCTGTTTTCAGAAACCACCTATCACAAAGGAAACAATGCTATGTCACTCCCTGTCAGAAGCTCCTGTTTATAAGAAAGAGGAAGCTCTCCCCCGGCCCCCAGCCACCTCTGGGGACCTAAGCTTTCTCAATCTCATTCAACTTCCTTTGCAAAAATTCACAAAATGGTAATCTAAAGGAAGTGATTCCATTCCCACCCAGCATAAGGGCCTGAGCTGTTTCTACATTCCTCTCCAGTGTTCTTCCCAGACAGCTGCTGCACAGCACATTAATCTCTGATTTCTAAGCACAGAGAACTGACTGTTGTGAAAGGTGGAGGTGAGGCAGGAGATGAATCCCCCATACCTGCTTCTACACAACTTTCAGCAGCCTCTGACCCTCTAAGTCCAAGATATATCACTCTCAAGCGCTCAGAACTCCATGGGCAATCAATGCTACCTGGAGCCTCTTTCCTTCACCCACTACCATCCCCCTGAATCCACGGCAGAAGTTGTTACCGGGAAATCCTACGGTTATTTGGGATTCTCCAGCCATGTGGAGAGTCTCTTGATAGGCTCCCCCAGCATCTCATTCTCTGGCTGGTCTGCAACAATTAGCATTCCCAGCTTAATAGCCACATTCAAGGGAGTTGAATTTGAGGGCACTGCTACCACCTCCCCGATCATCTTCCCAAAATTCAGAACTGACCACGTGCCTCTGCTACGTAACATCAACCAATGACAGCTCAACTCCTAGAATTTGAAGTCCCAGTGCCTAACAGAGCACATGGGGCCCTTTAAGATAAAGCTCCACTCATACTTCTCCTTCTATGATGCACACTCTAGACAAAGCAAGCTACTCGGACACACCATTCTTTTAGATCACTCTATCACACGAGGTGTCCTCCTGAAAGGCATTGGTCCAACTGACCAAAATTTCCCTAGCCCTTAAAATTCAGCTCAGACAACCTCTCTATGCCTGACCTGGGCATGGCTCCCGCATGCAAAAGTTAAAACCTCCCTAAGCTCCCACAGCACTTTGCACAAACTTTCGACAGCAACCATCACAGCCCTTTACTCACCCCTTTACTCACCTGTCTTTCCACACCAACTACAAACTCCTGGAGATTCTGTTACAGTAGATACTTTGGGGTTTTCCGTGTGGGCGGGGGAGGGGCAAGTTTATGGAGGAGGACTCACTCTGCTGCCCAGGCTGGAATGCAGTGGCGCAATTACAGCTCACCCCACCTTCAACCTCCTGGGCCCAAGTGATCCTCCTGCCTCAGCCTCCCAAATAGCTAGGACTGCAGGCATGCACCACCAGGCCCGGCTAAATTTTTTAATTTTTTTGTAGGGACAGGGGTCTCACTAAATTCCCCAAGCTGGTCTCAAAATCCTGGTCTCAAGTAATCCACCCGCCTCAGCTTCCCAAAATGCTGGGATTATAGCTGTGAGCCACTGCACCCAGCCAGAGTGGATACTTATATGTGTGTCTGTGTCTGCTCGAAACACCTTCGTCTGTGGAGCAACCCCTCACGCCCTCCACATGATTTGGGGGAGGCGATCAACCATGACCCAAGTTCCCTGAGGAATCTGAATTGTGACAGGAGTCTGAAGTGAATGGGCCCGAGTCAGTCGATGGCTGCCCCCAGAGATGTCAGTGAAATTCCCAGAGCTGCCCTTGTTCCCATGCTTCCCACAACATCCCTTGGCTTTGGGCAGGTTCTACAGAACTTCCCTAGTCTTCTTTCAATGAGTTCAACAGTATCCTCCTAACATGTCTTTTTAAGTTCATTTAGCCAGACTTGGGTTTTGTCACTTGCAATTAAAACTGAGCACTGTACTTGTCATTAATTCATTTATTCCACATTTCCTGAGTGCTCACCCTGCACCAGGCATATAATAGAAATTTAACCAATTTTAGCTGAATAAATAACTAGCTTCCACAGAGACTGGCAGCCAGGATTCACCATCAGTTTCTAAAGTTTGAGACAAAATGTTCCCTTCATCAAGTATCACCAACTCTCAGGCCCCTCAGCAACCTCTAGAGAGTTCCAGCTCCCACGAAGTTCAATGTAACCCAGTCTTCCTCTAGGAGAGAGAGTTAATAAGCTTTTTGGGGAGTATCCTTTCTTCAGAATCATCTAGAGAATGACTGAGGGGACAGACCTCAAGTATACCCATACACACACTCCCCACACACACACACCCTATACATACACACACTCCATGCATACACCCACCCACCCACACTCCACATACACACACCCTACACATGAACACACACCCTACACACATACACTCCACACATATACTCACCCACATACACTCCACATACACACACCCTATACACATACATTCCAAACATACACCCATACCCCTTCATATACCCTTCATACACACACAGTACACACACACACCCCTTACACACATACCCTATACACACATGCTACACACATACACTCCACACATACACCCACACCCATTCCATACAACACACCCTACACACACTCCACACATACACCCACACCCATTCCACATACACACCCTACACACACTCCACACACACCCACACCCATTCCACATACACACACACCCTACACACACACACTCCACACATACACCCACACCCACACTCACACACACTCATAACCCTCCCACACACATCTACAAGCTCCCACACACACACCCACACCTGCAACCCACACTCCAACACATCCCCTCCACACGTACACCCACACACCCTCCCCCCACACACGCAAACACACACACACATACACATGTATACCCTACAAGACATCAATTCAGTCTTCAAACACATGTGTTAAGGAAATAGGAAGAGGCTACCATCATGGGATGGATTAAAGGAAGTTTCCAGAAGCTCGGAACAACTGTGACCTGGAGCACGAGAGGTAGACACCAATCACTCCATCATGACGTAAGTTCTCAAGACCCCCTAGTGTCCGTACAGGGATTGCCCACATCCACAATGGCTACTTCTTGGCTTTGAGCAGATCTAGCCAGGCAGCCTGGTGGCCTTCAGTGAGAATCTGTGAAAACGGGCAAAGGGAGACCTAGGTCCAAAACCTGCTGTTACCAATTACTGGCTGGGATGCCTCAGTCAAGTCCCGAACCTCTCGGAGTTTCTAACCTGTAAGTAGTAATACCCCCACAGACCTTATGACCTTTATGAGGGCCGAAAGAGATCACACATGGAAAGCACAACACCAGGCATATATCAGCGCCTAACCCCACTGCCCCGCTGAAAAGATGTGGGTGTACATGAGCAGAATCCCCTGTGAGTCATCACTGTCTGCATCCATCCTCATCCTCATCCTCCTCCTTCTCCTCCTCCACAGGAAGTTCTCAAACTAAAGGCTAAGTCAGTAAGATCGGCTCCATGGCAACATAATGGCCAGCGCTCTATACCACAGTCCATCGCATGCTACTGACTGAACATTAAACAGATGGTTTAACCCCTCTGAACCTCAAAAATATGGAATCAACCTAAGTATCCGTCAATGGATGATTGGATAAAGAAATATGATTGATTGATAGATAGATAGATAGATAGATAGATAGATAGATAGATAGAGGTAGACAGACAGACAGATAGATATGGCAGGGGAGTAGATGACAAGAAATTACTTAATGGATACAATGTATAATATTTGGATGATGGATACACTAAAAGCCCAGACCTCACTACTATGCAATATAGCCATGTAACAAAAGCACACTGCTACCTCCCCTTAAAGTTACACACATGTAACACACCTCTGAGCCTCAATCTCCTCATCTATATAATAGGAATAATAGAGTATTTTTAGACCTTGCTTGAGTAGCAGACCCTATACCACTGCAACAGCCTCCTGCTCATCCCCACCTCCATTATCTCTCCGGTCCAATCCCATTACATCCCTGTTTCCCAATACATGATGGTTCCCTATTAATTACTGTGCAAAAGTCCTCAGCCTGTCTGTCACAACCCTCTGGAAGCTGACCGTATTTATGCGTTTAGCTATATTCCCACTCTTCTCCCCCAGGCACCTTCTGTTCATCAGTTTGATCTCCTCACTGTCTTCTGCACACATCCCATTGCTTCCTGCTCCTGGGCTTTCTTAATACCATGCCCTCTCATTCTTAACCACCACCAATAGTCATATTAGCACTATGTCCCCTATTCCCAACCACAACCAATATTCATATACTCCTCTGCTATCCAAATCCAACTCTCAAGGTCCAGCTCAGGTTCCATTTCTCCCACCAAACTTGCCCCACTTCATGTTTAACAAATAGTTTTATGAGTTGCCATCTCAACTTCAAGCTCAATTTTAACCAACTTGAGGTCAGGGATATTATCTCATAA